GTTTCTGAGTGATGAGAGCCGGGAGGCGGAGCTCCTCGCCGGGACCTGCCTGCTCATCTGACCGCTCTGAGGATGCGGAGCGGCGGGGACGCCACCGTCTCCTCCCCGCCGGTCTTCCCTCTTGGTTCCTCCGTCGGACGGACAGCGGCAGAGCGCGGACATGGCCTCCGACAGTGAGTAAAGTGTTTTTATCAGAGTGTCTGCGGGTTTYACACGGATTTCACGCAGCGTTTGGATGAGATGTGATTTGTTTTGTGAGCGGATGGGAGGAAGATGGAGGCCAGCTGATCCTCTGCTGCTGCTTTTATTATTGATGCAGACAAATAAGATGTGAGATTACAGAACATCCAGTAACACAGATTAATCAGATGAGGGATTAAACATTGTGCTGTCACATTATTGATCTGCTTCCTTCTGCCTCCACACCTTTAATCTGATAAAACACAAACAGAACCTCCTGCAGAACCAGGTTCTGATCAGAAATGTAAAATATGAATCAGGCTGGAACCCTCAGACCAGACCGAGTCCTGCACGAGATAAATGTTCTGTTTGTTTGTTTGATTGATTGAATAAATAAATAAATAAATAAATAAATAAATAAATAAATAAATAAGACCGTCCTGAAAAAAAAATCCTCCATTTTTGCCAAAACAAACGGTGGTTGAGGAGGTGGCTGCGTCACAGTCGATCTAAAAGCTTTGAAATTTACGTTAAAAAACCTCCTACTGTTTCTGACACTCCCACTTCAGCTCATCTTCACAACAATGTGAATCTCACATTACTTCAGAACAAAAATAAAACCAGCTGCATTAGTAAAAGTTATTAAATGATAAATCTCGGTAGGTGTTACCATGATAACACCCACCTGGAGCTGCAGGTACAGGTGGTCCCACTGGTCAGGGTCCGTTCAGCAGCAGCTCCTCATTTATTATTAATTTAAATAATTACTTTAAAGTATAAATAGGAAGGMTTTTTTCTGGTGAATTATTGTCGTTGGTGAAATCTTTAAAAAGCAGTCAGGTTTGTTGTGTGGGTTCTGGTTCTGGTTCTGTTCTGGGTCAGCTCTATGGGATCAATCTTGTACCAGCAGGAAGTGAATCTGAATGTGCAGAATTTGAAACTGAATGCATTGATTTGAAAAAAAAAATTCACTAAACTGAAACTGAATTTAAAGTTTTGTTTCTGAATTAATTTACTTTGAAACTGTATTTTGGTTCATTAAAACTTCAGTTTGACTACTTTCACTTTCAGTTCCATAATTCAGATGTTTGTGTCACATCCTGGTCCTTGAGAAAGCCAGGCAGAGTAATCAAACACAGATCCACAGATTTATGTTTCACTTTGG